GGGGAAGCAGAATTCTCTATCTGAGCCTTATTTATCTCATTGTTTAGGAGAAACAATTAAAAGTGATCTCAATTCTGATCTTTCCATTGGGAGGTCGTCTGAATGAACAGGTATGGAGTGGTTCTTTCCTGACCGCTCTGTACAAACACACAACATAGTTCCAGTAAGGAAGCAAGAGCAATCTCAACACAAACATTTTATCACTCATGATATTCAAAACAGCTGATTTTAATATTTCCATTGTATTTGGATAATTACGTGTTTAAGGTGTTTACATAACCTTCAGCAAAGCTATTGACAAGCTCACACCTGTCCACTTGTGATATTAATGCATCTAATAATAAAAAATAATAACAACCCTAATCAGTACAATTTACTCAACTTTTGTTTATAAGGACATCAAGCTAAGAAAGGGAAAAATAACCATGTTTTCTTATAGCAACTAGCCAGAATATTTATACATGAATCTGTGCATGTGAGAGTATGATTGGGAATATTGCGTCATTACGGCTACAGTCAAATCGAAACACGACGTTCATCAGAAGCCTATTGTTCTGTAGTGGATATAGTCAGTGTGTGTAAAGGTTAAGCAAGCATTTGACAAATTTAGAAGAGACAAACAGCTCTTGCTTTGATGAGGCACAAATCACCAGCTGACTGTTTTGACCAGATGATGCAATTTATTTTACACTGGCAACAAATCTTCAGATATTTTCAGATCAGAATTTTAGAAATCCTTCCTTAAAACCTTATCACTTGCTCAGTGAAACATCATGTAAACAAGTCACCTCATGACTGCAGAAAAGTTGAAAAAATATATAGTTCAGTCATGAAACTCTAGATGGCGCATTCTGACGGGGTGTTAAAGTAACTGATGATATTCAGAGAGTTAAACGACTTGGCACAAGCTGATTGGTTCATGCTGCATATCCAGCCAATGAGTTTACTGCCTTGCATTTATATGGCTGGCTAGCATTCACTTGAGATTCCTGCAGCGTGCTTTCAGAGTTCTCTGAAACCCTCCACCTTCCCCAGCTCCACCTGTATAGATCTGCTACGGGGTTATTTTATATGCTATTTGTGCAGCAGCAGTATGTCTTCAATACTCATGGCATCGTATCGCCATATGCATTGTCAGTAGCAAGTTCCTGTACTTGCTTGCAGTAGCAGCAGCAATAATCTACAACTACCGCAATAACCAACAGCAGCAGCAATTCAGCAGCAGCGTAGCAGATCTGTTCCGCCAAGACCAAATACATTAACATTGTCATATCCATCACCATGCTAAAATGTTCAGAGAGTTGTAATGATTGAAATATATTCTGTATACACAAATCAAATTTCATAATATTCCTTTCATAAAATAAAGTTTTATCAGAACATCTGAATTGTTGCATTCTATAGTAGTGAACCCCAAATAAGCACTGTTTGGTGTATCGGGGAAGTTTTGAGAACTTCAGCAGTCTGTCATTTCCTAGCAGCAGGTTGAAGCCGTTTCTGTTGATTTCATCAATGTCTGAACATGATGATCTTGATAAGACGTTTTCTGCTGACAGCTGCCAGTTCACCTCATTGACATATAACATCCAATTCAGCCACACGTAATGGCACACAAAAACATTACAGACGCACAATCCAGGCAAATTCATGAAAAGAAAAAAATTTCATTCAATATCTCTAACCTTGTCTTAAGTTCAATGTCATCAACAGAAAATCCCAAACTACTACACATACAGATCTGTATGCAGGGATTACCTGTACAACTCATTTATTCTTGCTCTAACATGTTTTTCTCAGTCTCTTTCGTTTTCATGAGTAGGGCTTTATTCCAGAGGGAAAAGCTGTAAATGAAAATAAAACTCTTCTGAAACTTTCTAAACGTATTTCTTTGTGGTTTGTTAAAGCATGGTGGAGATCAGACTTACCTGATATGGCGATTGAAGGTCTGGAGGGGAAGCTTGAACTGAGGGTACGAGAGCAGCTCGGTTGACTTGTATAAGTCAGATGTGTCTCTCTGTGTGAATAAAGAAGCCTGTTGCATTCCGCCTTTTCTCTTTCGCTCCCCCCTCCACCACCACTCACTCTACCTCCTCATTCGCTCTCTGGCGTTCTTGCCCTCCCTCTTTAAATCAAACTTTCTCTGCCACGCATGTCTTCTTTACAGCCGTTGTAGTTTTGTGTACAGTAAAGCGTCCCCCTGTTGTTGCCTACTACTTGTTGCTCTCTCTGCTTTTTCTCTCGTTCTCTGTCTTTCTCTCAGAAATCACGGAACTCTTTGATTCATAAATACAACCCTGGTCACGTGATACGATACTTCAAATATACAGGGCTTTTTTTAGAAACCACAGAATGCCTTTAGGGATGGAAAATCAGGGCCAGAAAGCTTAAGTTTCCCTCTCTCTGCCCCCTCCACTGCTTCAGCTCTATCCTGCTACACGTCTCCTCCTATAGCATCTCTCCAGCCCCTCTCAGTTACCACCCGCCTTCTTCTGGGTGTCAGTTTCTACATCCTATTATCCTTCCATCTCCTTCCACGTTTGCTCGTCAAACTGCTTGCTCTGCTTTTCTCTTCCCCCTAATTATTTTCCCTCCATTTGCTCTCATGCCATCGTGGTTTCTTTTGTCTATTGTCTTCCTTTAAGTCAGTTTTTTTTCATACCTTTCATGTTTCTACTAGATATTGTGGCTATTGTATTTCTCAACAAATTTCATGTCATTCTTTCCACCGAATTACACTCTTAAAAATGAAGGTTCCAAATAGGGGGTTTTGCCATAGAAGAACCATTGTGGGTTCCCCAAAGAACTTTTCAGTGAAACGGATTTTGTGAAATGTGATTTGAATAGGATTTCAAACCACATATGAATGTATGAATGGTTAACATTTAATATAATCAGATTCCAATCAAATATGCCAAATAATAATAATAATAAAAATCTTGACTTTTCTATGACTTCAGAAAATTGGAACACAGCTGTATTTTTATGATAGTTATATAATGTTTTGCATTATTTTTTTAACCATGGAGAATATTTAGATCTTCAACAATTCTCCTTTAGTGTTCTACAGAAAATATAAAGTCTTGTTTTTGGAATGACATGAAAGTTAATACACTTTTTTTATTTTGGTCAGAACTATTTCTTTAATTCTTGCTCTTGCATTTCATTGATGTTTTATAGACATGCTAGAGTCCTAAATCCGCAATGAAAGCTATATTAAACATGCAACCACACACATAAATGTTACCTTTATGTCATCACTCATGCACACACGGATGGTGCTCTGTGGGAATATCACAATCAATGTTTGTAAAGCGACTGTTTCCAGATAATGAACTCTTTGATTGGCACTGGCCCTTTGAGAACACTGCAATCATGAAGCAGACTGTTCAGAGATCAGATTAAAAAAAAATTAAAAAAAGAACTATGCAACACATTACAGTTACTGTAATAGTTGTTTAGTTGTATCTGGTGTTATTTCATGGACTTAAACTGACACAGATTAACAATGAATAGCTGTATTTTTATTAATTTTAATCAAGATTAATAAATACTAGAACAAATGTAACGCTTATGGTTAGTTAATGCATTACTAATGACACTTTATTGTAAAGTCTTACCTTTAAATGTTTACATGTACTAATAAGTATAAAAATATTTTATATGAAAAGTTTAAAAAAACAAATGTTTTAGTAGAGTGATGTGAAAGCATAAAAAAATAAAGAGGAATAGAAAAGATGAAAATGCAATAATCAATTAGTCAAGTCAAGTCACCTTTATTTATATAGCGCTTTTAAGAATACAGATTGTGTCAAAGCAACTGAACAGCATTAATTAGGAAAATAGTGTGTTCTTACGATGTAACAAGTACATCGTATGTTATTGGAAGTGTTCCCAGTTTTGGTTGACCTAATTAATGCAGCCTAACAATCCTTTAAAGGGTTTGAGTAATAGAAATGTGTAAGTGTGTTATGTGTATGCCAGGTTAAAGAGATGGGTCTTTAATCTAGATTTAAACTAACAGATTGTGTCTGCCTCCCTAACAGTGTTAGGTAGATTATTCCAGAGTTTGGGCGCTAAATAGGAAAAGGATCTGCCGCCCGCAGTTGATTTTGATATTCTAGGTATTATCAAATTGCCAGAGTTTTGAGAACGCAGCAGACATGAAGGACTATAATGTGATATGAGCTCGCCCAAGGTGCTAAACCATTCAGGGCTTTATAAGTAATTATTTTTAAATCTATACCACGTTTAAAGGGTTAGTTCACCCAAAAATGAAAATTCTGTCATTAATTACTCACCCTCATGTCTTTTCAAACCCGTAAGACCTTCGTTCATCTTCAGAACACAAATTAAGATATTTTTGATGGAATCTGAGAGCTGAGAAACATATCCGACGTGACGCAGCTGACACAGAACAGCATACGCTGTTTACATCCAGCGGATACTCTCCAAAATGGCACTAGGGTGGAGGAGACGAGTTGTTGAATAAAGTCATTTTTTTCTTTTCTTTTGTGCACAAAAAGTATTCTCGTAGCTTCGCATAATTGCGGATGAACCACTGATGTCACATGGATTATTTTACAGATCTCCTTGCTACGTAGAGAATGCTAGTGTTAGAGGCTCTTTTTTAAAGACAACAAGTAGTTAGAATAGAAATAGAATAGAGAGTGCAAGTGTTAGAGGGTTGAGTTTTTTGTTTTTTTTAGAATTAGAATAGAGAGTGCTAGAGTTAGAGGGTCAAATAAAGATGGAAGAGATGTGCTTTTAGCCAATTCTTGAAGATAGCTAAGGACTCCTGCTCGGATTGAGTTGGGCAGATTATTCCACCAGAAGGGAAAATTTAATTTAAAAGTCTGTGAAAGTGATTTTGTGCCTCTTTGGGATGACACAATAAAGTGACATTCACTTGCAGAACGCAAGCTTCTAGAGGGCACATAAGTCTGAAGTAATGAATGTCTGAGGTGCAGAGCCAGTGGTGGTTTTGTAGGCAAACATTAATGCCTTGAATTTTATGCGAGCAGCTATTGGTAGCCAGTGCAAATTGATAAACAGAGGTGTGACGTGCATTCTTTTTGGCTCGTTAAAAATTTATCTTGTTGCCGCATTCTGGATTAATTGTAAAGGTTGCGTTTTTTTTACGCACCCATGTTAACGGATTAGAGCGTTCGGTTACACTTTATTTCGATAGTCCACTTTAGACATTCTATTAACTATAAGTAACTTTGTAACTACATGTCAACTACATGTCAACTAATTCTCATTAATTTGCAACTACATGTCTACTAACTCTCAGAGTAGACTGTTAGGGTAGGTTTAGGGTTAGTAGAATAAGTTGACAAAGAAAGTGTTAGAAGATAGTCTTAAGTGTTAAGCAGACAGTCTACTAATACTCGACTAACTGCTAGTTGACATGTAGTTGCAAAGTTACTTACTGTTAATAGAATGTCTCAAGTGGACTATCGAAATAAAGTGTTACCGAGCGTTCACACTGCACGCTGTTGTGGTCCATCAGTGCGTTCCAGGAGCGGCGCGTCTGCAGCAGTGCGGCGATCGTTTACGCACCGAGTCTATTTTTGCTGTGCTGCACGTTGACAGGAGGATCCGGTGGTTAACTGTGTCAAAAGCAGCGGACAGATCCAGCAAACTAAGTATTGAAGATTTGGAATCCGCTCTTGCCAGTCTTAGGGCTTCAACAACTAAAAGCAAGGCAGTCTCGGTTGAATGTCCACTTCTGAAACCAGAGTGGTTGCTGTCGAGGAGGTTGTTCTTTGTGAGAAAGGCAGAGACTTGGTTGAACACAGCTCGCGTCTGCAGCAGTGCGGCGATCGTTTACGCACCGAGTCTATTTTTGCTGTGCTGCACGCGCTGAATTAAAGTGAAAAGCGCATTGTTCGCGGTAAAAATGAACATGAATTGACACGGAAATGTAGTAATTTCACAATAAATTGATATAATTGTTTCACAGTCAACACGTGGCTTTTTGGCTAGGTTTAAAACAAGGAAAAGTGCTCTTTTAGATAAACAAGGCAACATAATAGATGCACTTGTGGATGTAGAAAAACATTGTAATAAAGATTTAAATGCAAAAGTAAAGGCACGAGAGTCGACTGTTTCTGTCAGTGGTGAGTCTTAATTTAAAATGTTTGTGATAGCACACTTTTAACGTAAAAAAGTAGGCTATATGCTGTGTTTAAATGTGTTGCCAATTGCTTGAGCAACTTATTATACAAACCTAGAAGTCAAATGCATTAATAATACATTGTTTATATTTATTGAGTTTAAACTAATGTCTATGAAAGATTGTTACTGTACTGTGATAATCACAATGCTGAAAAAGCTTTTTCAGTAACAACGTTTGGATTTGAAATCAAAATAATGGATAAATGTTGTGTTTGTGGCCTAAACAGCCGTGGGTCAGTAGCGGACTGCAAACGCATCCTGTGTGAAAGCACAATGAGTCCGTGCTGCTTCTGCACCGCATACGTAACACACATGGACCGCATACACACTGCAGATGGAGTATGTGTGAAACAGGCGTAACTCCAAGGTTTCTGGCTGTTTTTGATGGAGTTATGGTGGATGTGCCTAACTGGATGGTGAAATTGTGATGAAACGATGGGTTTGATGGAACCACAAGCAGTTCTGTCTTGGCAAGGTTGAGTTGAAGGTGATGGTCCTTCATCCAGCAAGAAATGTCTGTTAGACAAGCTGAGATGCGAGCAGCTATCGTCGGATCATCAGGATGGAATGTTTAAAGAGCATGCGAGAGTTAGACAAATTGTTAATTTTGTTATGAGAGTATGTCCTTTTAGCAGTGTAGACATCAGCAGAAAAGGAAGAGAGGGAAGAGAAGGAAGAGTCATATCATATAATTTACAAAAAGCGCTTTCATAAAAAGGGACCTGATATTCAATAAGCAAAGCTTTATAATTTGTTTCTCTGTATTATATAAATTTTTTATTTGTTGAACATCAATTAAATTGTTACTCTTAAATTGGTTTGGACGTTTTTTTGTATTTTCTAGTTTG